TGAAGTTGTACAGGCAGACAGTGCAAAAGTTAAAGTGTTCTCTTATCCCTGTGATCTACTGATCTAAAACTGTGTAGCATGGTGTGCCTCTCTGTTCACTTTGGCTTCACAGAAATTTGTATTTGAGTGTGTGTGTTTTCAGACCTGCCCTCTTCCTCGAACTGGCTGTGTGAGACTGAGTAAATGACATAACCTCTCTGACCCTCACTTCCCACACATCAGCCTTAAAAATGAAGGCTGATTGCTCTGGCCCTCCTCCAGTTCTGAAGCACTCCAACCCTGTGTTATTCTCTTCGATTAAGGATATGAAAAAAAGTTGGGGGGGGTGGGGAGCAGAGAGTGTGGCTACCCATATTTATACAACATTGGATAATATATAAGCATGCATATATAATATGTATTATAATATTTACTAGATCTATATATTATTATATATTTTGCATTGCATTATATGTTTGTGTATGATATATAAATTATATATGATATTAAATAATATTTTCCAACATTAAATTGGCTAGCAGATGGTTAGGTGAGCAGTTACAAAGGTTTATTTCACCACCTGCAAGGGGCTTCCAGGAAGAATCACCTTCACATTCATTACCATCGCTTTAAAATCCTAATGACCCTAGAACCTAGAGGTTAGACAGTTATACCAGGAAAAGGGAGCTGTTCTCTACACACAGCGATTTCTTTGTCATAGTTATAAAACAGTAGCAAATCGAAGGAAGAAAAGCCCATGTTTTTATATCGAGATCCAAGTAGCTAGTATCAGGATGACTGGCAAACATCTTCTGAAATACAGATATCCTTTTAAAAGTGAATATGTGAAATTCATGTATTGATTTAGAAGAACCTCAATTTTATATACATATATACACTGAGAGATATATCTTTTTGGTATTATCATTTTGCATAGGTTTCTGTCAGCTGCTCATGATGGCAATGCTTTGAGTATATGCCTCCTGAATTTTTCTGCTGAGACTCTATAAAGAAAACTAGTAAACTCATATCAGAAACATGAACTAACATGTTGTTGACTTCCAGAGAATTCTTTACTCTCCCTAGTCAAAATTTTCTAAGAAAAGGTGGCAATTTAACTTTTATCTGTTTCCTTAAATGGAAGATCATATACTATATTTAAGTTGCTTACAGCCACAGATCACAATGGTGTCTTGAAAAAGACAGTCAGTTATCAGTGACATATGCATGCCTGCTCAGTCTAGTTATTGCAGCAGTAAAGTGAAGGCTGGTCTCATTATCCATTACAAAATGTCACAACATTCAGGATACCCTAATAGGAAGCCATCTCACGAAACAGGAATGTCTTTGGAATGAAGTAAAATTTAACAAATGGCATTATTTCCCCTTTTTTAGGATTTATATAACTGTATACATTAATATAATAAAATCCCAACCAAGCACTTATTTCAAAAAAATGAGAAAATACTAGAAAAATTTAGGACCCTTTTCAGTTCTGCTTAAGAGTTCATTAAGCTATCCCAGTATGAAATCAAGGTAGCCCACTATTTTAAGCACCACCCTGTAAACATTCACAATTGATTTCTAATATGCTCAAAATGCCAGGCTGCCAACATGCAGATGTTCAGGCCGCTCGGTAATTCTACCAGAAGGTTTGATTCAGGCTTGAATTCCCTGTTGCCCTCCAGAACCCAGGACTCAGTAAGAAAGAAGAAAAGTGAATTCGAATGTGGCCATTTTCCATAATCCTCTATTTAAAATTCAGGGGGAAATGGACGTTTTAATTGAACACAGATACAGGAAACTGGAGACATATAAAGCATTCATTTTCCCCAGCTTGAAAGTTTATATCGGAAGTTCCTATATATTTCATGCAAAATATTGCTATTTGGCACGTGAAATCTGATGGTTTCAGAAAAGAAGAATGAGGTGTTCCTTTGACCTGGTTTATAAATGCATCTTAACCACACCTTGAATATGATAATGCTTCTCATTTCCCCTGTGCCTTGGTGTTACAGCTAGCCAGCACCGCTGTGAGCATGGGGCCAGGACCCTACAGAGGCAGTAACAGTCCTGAGGGACTGTTCCCGCTCCCAGGAACACGCGTGGGGAGAGTGTGGAATGAACCGTCGCAATCCTCCGACATTAAACTCAGCCCGAGACTCTCAAGGCTTAGGAGGCAGCTTAGAGTGGAGAGTTGTTTTCTCGGAGAGTGATGCCCGGGCATTCCTGCTAAAGCAGACAATCATCAGTTAATCTCTGTAGATGACTACAGAGACTGTTGGGTTTTGGCAGGTGTCAGCTGGTACAGAAATTGCTCACATGTGAAAACTTTTTTTAAGCAGGGGGTAATGAGAGGGGCTAATTCAAAAACCCAATAATCTCATGGCCACAGGAGTGGCTTGCCTGAAATGACTTATCCCTGCTCCGTTTCTCAGTGGCACGTGTCCCCACACTTGGTGGCTGAGGCAGGCACAACGGATGACAGCCCTTCTTCAAAGGCTGGCCGTAGACTCCACCATGCCCGATGCCATGTATTCAGAATGACCTTGTACCCATCATTGCCCTGGCTCACCACTGTTCTTGACACGGTGTTTTCTAAAAATGCCACTGGATGCCCAAGGAATGTGAAGTTTTAAAATGGGTACAGAACTTGCTGGAAGCCTTTGTGACTGGCATTCTTTCCTGAGTCAGCAGAACTCTCCAGAATCATTTTCCCTGCCTCCTTCTTTCCTTGACTTCTAATGCCAGGCATCAGGCTGTGGCGAGCATTTAAAGGGCTGACTTCTTATGTTCTGGATGGGTTTTAAGTTGGAATTGTTTGCTTTTCTGCAAGAAAACTTCAGATTTTTCACTTTGGTCATCAGGAAGCCAAAGCTCTATCACAAAGATGAGAGGAGGGAGGAGCGAAGGAGCGAAGCTAAAGCATCCTTCCAGACACTGAATTAAAACCATGATTGACCAACAGATTGTTCTAGAAAAAAAGCCATGTTTGTACTTTTGAGGGATGACGGGTTGCTCGGGAACCTGGCCCCACAGCCTTCTGTCCACAAAGCTGGTGCTTAAAATACTGAGCCCATAAGAGGCCTCTCGAATGTGTGCAGGACCTGCGTGACTCAGGGTGTTTGCGTTCGAGTCGGGTGTTGTGGGCTGGAGCGCTGAATCAGAGTCCAGATTTGCCTTGGTGACACATGAAAAGAGGGAGCGTTGCATTTGAACTGCACAAATATTATGCTTAAGTATTTTTCCTCATTTTGGAGCCAAACAGGTCTTGTTAATGATAAAATCACTGCAGTATAGTGGGCCCTTTTTCTGGTCTGGAATTTGAGACAGTGTTAACTGTGCCAAGGGGCCGGGCGGCAGGAAGAAACAGCAAGCCACGGAGATCTGGAGCCATGAGACAAGTCATACGATTTAATTTTACAATTGTAGCCAGTGGGAGCTGGGCTGACATGCACTTCCCCCGGGCCGCGCCTACCCGGGGCTGGCCGGAGTGGAATCGAGGGGTCCTCTTTCTAGTCTCGGCTCCGGCCAGGGCATGTGAAAGGGCGCTTTTGGGGGCCTCAAGCGGGCTGCTTCTCCAAGGTGGCCTTGAGGCTACTTGCCTCAGTCAGGGTCTCTGCTCACATCTCAAGGGTAAGGAAGCAGCAGGCGGCGTTTCTCTCTAAAGGAGGAAATGAATGGCCCAGGCCCGCTGTAGAGACATCTCTGCCTAGGAGCCTCAGCTCTGCTTGACAGGGCTGTGTCTAGTTTGAAGACACTTTGGGCTGGGCGTGGTGGCTGACGCCTGTAACCCCAACACTTACGGGAGGCTGAGTTGGGAGGATCACTTGAGCCCAGGAGTTTAAGACCAGCCTGGGCAACATAGCGAGGCCCCATCAACACAAAAAATAAGAAAAAGTAGCCGAGTGTGGTCATGCACGCCTGTAGTCCCTGCTGCTTGGGAGGCTGAGACAAAAGGATGGCTTGAGCCCTGGAGTTCCAGGCTATAGCGAACTATGATCGCACCTCTGCACTCCAGGCTGGACAATAGAGTGAGATCCCATCTCTAAAAAAAAAAAAACACTTTGATGAGGGATTAAGGGAGAAAACTGCAGGTCCATGTCCCACGTGAGTGGCCCTGCTTGCTGCTTCCCGGTGACCGTGTTTTTGGTGAGGAGCAGGGTGAGGACACTTACCGTCTCCGAAGACAATGAGGGCCCCCACCTGCCCATCCTCATCCCTGAGCCCTGGGGAGGTTGGCCAGCCCGGCTGCGGCTCCCTCCGGGCTCCCGCGGGCGGCCCAGCCTACCGGGAATATCGGACAAGGCCCAGGCTGCGCCTTTCTGTGGGCTCCCCCGCACCGGTGTACCTGGGGAGCTGGCTTCAGGGAAGAAACATACCTGCAGAAAGCCTGTGAGCAGAGGGACAGGGTGAGGGGCTGCCGGTGCCTGCGAGTAGCAGGAAGTGCGGCCTCCCTGGGGGCTGTGGGTTCGCGGCCACACCTCACTTCCTGTTGGAGGTGCCTGCTGCCAAGCTCCAGGCCCGCTTTGCTGCCGCTAAAACCTGCCGGTGGTTGGCTTTGCAGTAAGGAGCAGCCGTTCTGATGCCACTGGGAGAGACCTTTCCTGATTGCCACTGCTCAGCCCGAGTGGCCAAGTGCCAACAGTTGATGCTCCTCTTTCCCTCCCGCCATCACCACGGTCACCGGCGATCCCACTTCATTCCCCCCAGGGGAGGTGGATGCAGAGGGTTGGGGTGGATGCCGGGGCCCAGACTCTGGGAGCACCCAGTGGCCAGTGTGGTGAAAGGAGCTCCAGCCAGCTCAGGGGACAGCCCCCAAGTTCCCACTGGCAGCCGGCCCAGTGGGCCGATCTCTAGCGAGTCCATGTTGGGGGCAAGGGGAGAGGGAGGGGACAGACAAGAGCACCCCCAATTTTAGAAAACCCACAATACATTTTCTGATCTCTTCCCTCCCTTCCTCCCCACCTCCCTCCCTGCCTCCCCGCCCCCTCCCCTCCCTGCCCCGCTCCCCACAATAGGACATCGGCAGAAACTAGATGATCAGACCAAGCCTGGGAGCTTGTCCTTTTCCGAGCGGCTCAGTGAACTGGAGCAGCTGCGGCGCACAGCCATGAGGGCCAGCCCACACCACCCAGCCCCCACGCCCAACCCTCGCGCCTCCATTAGCCACTCCACTGCCTTTAACCCTCAGCCTCAGAGTCAGATGCAGGGTAAGTACCGGACGGAGTCCCCTCCCACCTGGCCCTCACCTGGGCCGCCACCCCCAGCTAGGCCCCACGTGCAGGGCCCACCCAGGCCAACCGTGGTCTGCCCCTGATGCTCAGAGAGGTCCCCAGACCAGCAGCACCGCCTGGGAGCTTGCTAGAAATGCAGAGTCTCGGGCCCCGCCCCCGACCTGCCGAGCCAGATCTGCACTGGAACAGGATCCCTGGATATGGGTGTCCACGTGTGGGGATAGCCCTCTCCTGGATTCCTGAATATTTTAAGAGTCAGCTTTGGCTATGCTGTGCTATTTCTTTACCCATGAGGCTTGAACACACACACACACACACACACGCGCGCACACACACGCGCACACACACACATGCACACGCGCGCGCACACACGTACGTCGGGCAAGGTGAAGGTGGGGATGTTTTCAAGTTCTTGTCTCCAGATCACTTGTGAGCTTTGTATCTAATACATGTTTTGTTTTGTTTTAAATTAAGAAATAGTAGATGCCATCACATCGAGGGTATTATTTGCAAATCGATAAAGAGCACGAGTCCCCCCTCCCATGGGGCTAGCTGGCAATGGCAAAAACACTAAGATGCAATAATTGCCTAAGACCCACTGTGCCAAGTTAGATAATACGAAAGTTCATTTACACTGTAGAGGCACTGGCGTCAACGGCTGTTGGCTCTGTGATACCATTTCAACCATCCGAAACGCAGTCTCTTCTCTGTGCCGTGTAGGACACAGCTGTATATGACATGGTCACAGTAATATTCCTTTCTCAAAGTAGCAGGCTTGTTAAACTCAAAGGAAAAGATACACAACACATCTGGAGAGAGGGGCGGGTGGCCAGCAGCGGATATGGGACCTCTTTGCCCCTCTTGGACAACACAAATTAGCTTCCCCACCCAGGCATTTTCTGTATGTGAGTCGTACTGTGGGATGTACGAGTGTCCTCTGTTGTCTCTTTCTGGGCCAATAGCTCTCTTTTGGGGTTCACACACGTGGGGCTCTCAAAAGGCATTGCTGCCATCTTCCACAGCATGACAGCCCATGCCATTAGCTCTCCCAGTTATGTTTCTGGGGGCGGTTCTTTTATTTGAGTGGAAAATTCCCAAAGAAATCTTCCCATAAGATGCTATGCACACAGCTGTTACGTGGCCGATCTGCAGAGCAGCCCTTGTGTAAACAAACAGGAATGAAAGCTTGATGTTTTAGGGGGCTGCCTCTCATCTGTAGTCATATCTTAGGTGCATTTAGGAAGAGGTCCCTTGAAATCATCGGTTTCCTGCTGCTTAATAATCGTTAATAATTATTTAAGATATGCCAGTTGATTTTTAGAAATTCCAAAATGCAAGTGTATTTGGTAAATTAGGTCAAACCGTGTATGAAGGGTGAGGTGGGCTTGCCGTGAAACGATGCTTTTCTTCTAAAGAGAATAAAACTCTCAAGGAGATTCTTCCATCTTGTGTTTAAGGTCATTTAAATTAAATCATGTCATCTTCAGGACTCTGTGTGTAAAATCAAAGGGAAGACTTATGTTTTCTTATTCTTTCTTTGCTTACCTGTTTATACTACTAAGGTGATGAAGGTGTTTGCCTTCTGGTATTAGAACCAAAAATATTAAATATTTTTAAAGGCAGTGGGAAATTTAACCACAGAGGGGCAAATTGAAATGGTCGCCATTGAGTCTGCTTTGTTTCAGACAGTTTTGGTGAGGAGTGAATCTAATCTGATTTCCCTCTTCATCAGATATGCTTCTTTACGAGAGAGAGAGAGAGAGAGAGAGAGAGAGAGAGAGAGAGAGAGAGAGGAGAGAGGTGTCATGTTGAATTCTTGTCTTTAGCGGCTCTCAAGCATTGGTGTGGATCATGTCATGGGCATTCTTCAGCTTTTTGGAGTATTACATGCTTTGCAGAGTATCAGGTTTAATACCAAGAATCACCCCCTTTCTTGTTCCTTTTAAAAACTTTTTACTTCTGCAACATCTAAGAAATCATAACTCGCTTTTTAGAGTGCCCTAGGGGCTCAGTTGCTACTCTAAAGAATGTGTTAACTATATTGTTGATGTTCTTTCTTTCCAGAATATGAATTTGATATTCAGTACTTCACTTGTAAAACTGTAGGAATAACTGTTTAAAAATAAGTATCCAGAATGTTTTCATGTGAAACTACTTTTCCTTTTTCATTCTTTTTTTCCTATGAGAAAGTGCCATTTTATTCTAGTCATGTTTTGAGTGGAGTCTTGGGCTCCCCCCCCCAACCCCTGTTGAAATTAGAAAGTTAACAGGCATAATGTGAAAGGCTCTTGCAGCCAAAACTTTCATTTTGTTCTTGACATGTAGGAAAATGGTTATTTTCCAGGCTTAGCCCTAAAGCTTCTGTGTTATACTTAAGAAAATACTTTAAGAAATGAAACACATAAACAGCATGTGTTTATGGCTCTCTTTGAAATAGCAGCAGTAGTTTTAAGAAAAATATCCTAAAAGTAGTTAGAGCAGTTCTACAACGATGCCATATAGGCATGTGAATGTTTTTCAGCTTTACAGAAATGGCAGTAACTGGGGGCTCAGAGAGCTTGCCAGGGTTTCCATAGAGGCTAAAGAACTCTGCTTTGCTAGGGCTTCATTGGAATGGCTATGCCAGCCCCTCTAACTCTGTCAGCAGGAAATCACATAATATAAAATAGCACCTAGCTTATCTAGAATCAGATGTGCTTGACAATCACTCCAAATAGACATCTCAAATTATCTGAAGCAGGGTAGAGATCTGCAGGGAGGCATGTTGCCATGCCTCCAAACCACTGTTTATTTGTTGAGGTTTTAACTATGAAAGCACTGAGGTTAATTTCAACTTCCTATTTTACCAGGTCTCAAAATTGCATAGAAAGCCATTTTTGTCATGGCAACATGTTTATGCAAGTCAAGACATCCTCATTAACTTCTCCAGTTGCCGTTTTAAATTCTTTTATATTTCTTTTCAAAGATGGAAAGGGGGAAGATTCTAGAGCCGGTGGTACCAATGCCTGTTTGGTCACAACTCCCAGTTAGAGATGGCTTCAGGCAACCTGAGCATGTAATTTTAAGAATTCGACTCCGGATTTACCAAATATGACAAATCACGCTTGTGGTGGCATAACTTCCTCCTTTCTGGGAAGACGGGGATACAGTGATACCTGCTGGTGCAGAAAACTGTGAAACCCAGATAAACTAGGAGGTCAGCTTTGTTGTGCTTATGTGTGTGTTGGTTGCTGTGAACACCTAGGTGTAAGGTTTAACTTTTTAATTGGATCAGTTGAGTTATATTTTGGCATGGATCAGACCTTCTGTATATATTATTCTGTTCCCCAAACAATTCTGTGGTATGGTTTATTGACAGAGAAGTCGAACCTCAGAGTTTAAAAATTGCCCAGCATCTGCAAGATTGTAAGTGATGAACTTGGACTGAAACCCAGACCTTTCTGGCTACAAAGCCAGTGTAGGCGACAGGTTCTCCAGGGTTTGCACTCTCGGGTCAGAGATCGATCAGTTTCAGGGCTGACCAGTATCGAGAAGAATCCCAGTTGCCAAAGGAGAGATGGGAGAAGTGTTGGCTGGTCACTCATTTGGCAGTTCTGTATTGAATGTGTTCTATTATGATTAGATGTTGATAATGATGTTATAATAACAGCCTTTGGAGCCAGGCTCTGTGTTGGGAACCTTAATAAACTGTCTCCTTTTGAAATACACACATTTGTTTTTAAAGATGGGGAGAAAAGAAAACTTAGACTGGAGATTCATTAATCTCTAAGCATGGGTGAAAGAGGAATGTATGTGCAGAGAGAGGGCTTCCCAGCCATCCTCTGTTTACTTTACTGGGGCTACCACCCTCCTACACGTAAGAGTCTCTCTTACAGGGTCCACTGGGACCAAGCCTTTCTTGGTATTCAAACCCAGTCAACATCTGATCCGTTTTTCGCAGTTTGGGTACTTTGCTTTGAGTTCTGTATGGCCAAGAAGGGCCACTGACCTACAAATCATCTCCTGATTTTTAGTATTACAAATACTTTTTTCTTGCTAGTTATTTTCCCAAAAGTTAAAGTTACTTTGGAAATCCCATATTCTGGTGCTACTGTCTGTGAAACTCTTGAGACACTGAACCAACTTTGTTTGTCAGTTGGACCTGATGACCTCTATCAGTCTGATTCTCTCTTTATTAGCTGGATAAGCAAAAGAAAGAGAATATTCCCACCATCTGGAAGGAGGAGAAGGAGATAAATCCCCTTTCCAGGCTTGGGAGTAAAATATTCAACTGCATGGTATTGCTTCTCTCTCTCTCTCTCTCTCTTTCACTCCCACCCACCCCCACTTCCTTCCTTCCTCCTCTAGCAATTCTAGAACTTTAGAAACAAAAGGGGTAGGGACTGTACCTTGAAAGTGGAGGCTACAGTCATACCAGAAATTCTCACATGTAAATCTATAAATGGTCATTTAATGGTTACACAAAGCAAAATATTCAGAGTGCTGGAAATCAACTTGTAAGGCGTGTTATAAACATGGAAGGTGGATGATTTTATTTAAATATAACTCTTACCTAGGTGTAGTAGGGTATGAGAGCCATTCAGGGTCTACAGCATTAGAATCTTACCTTGAAACCAAGGCTGAGTCAGGTGTTCCCATGAATAAATAGGGAGGGAGGGAGGGAGGGAGGGAGGGAGGGAGAGACAGTGTGTAGGGCAAGGCCAGCGGGATGAATGTGGAGTCCAGAGGGCTCTGTTGGTGTGTGGGGTGTGAGCTGCCCCTCTCCCAAGTGGGCAGAGATGTTACAAGTTAATAGAATTAGAAGTACTCAGAGAACTCAGTTCCTGTTTTCTGTGTTTTTAGCTGGTGCAACATAAACTATAAGCGTAAGGAAAGTTTGAAAAGCTAAGTAACTGCGTTGTAGACATTCAGAAAAGAAGAAGGATGGGATAAAGCTATGCTTTGTTTTCTTCTTTAAGACTCCTAAGGCCCTTGCA